GGAGGGAGGGAGAGGGAGAGGGAGAGGGAGGGAGAGGGAGAGGGAGAGGGAGAGGGAGAGGGAGAGGGAGAGGAGGGAGAGAGTGGGCTGGAGTGACAAAGGGGACAGGATGAGGACAAGTTCGGGTGTTGGTGGCATTGTCATGGCATACAATTCGTTGACGATGAGGTGAAGAGAGGGGGTGATAAGGTGTTGACAACGATTTGCTCAGGACAACAGCGAAAGGTCAGGAGAGAAACGCCCTGTGGTTGGAAGCGTGAATGCAGTGGGAAAGTCCCCGCGAGGAGCAACTATAGAGCTTATAAGAACATGGAAGGACCCAAGAGCAACTTGCTGCAGCATCGCAAGGGAGTTGCCGTTGCTGCTGATGGCTGCAGGCTGGCCTACGAGACCTCTGGCGATCCTCAATCCAAGGACAAGGTAGAACACACCTCCGTCCCTTCTCCTGCTCCTTCTCCTGCTCCTTCTCCTCGTCCTCCTCCTCTTGCTCGTGCTCGTGCTGCTCCTGCTCCTGCATGACAGTGAGCAAGGTGCTGCTGGTGATGGGCTTCAGCTGCTGCCACTCGTACTGGGATCCGCAAAAGGAAGTGCTGTGTGGTGGAGGAGAAGCGGAGGAAGGAGGAGGACTCGAGATATGCTGGTTCGACAACCGCGGGGTAGGGAGCAGCGACATTCCCTTTGGGAGATACTCGACCAGGCAGCTCGCTGCCGACTGCATCAGCCTCATGCAGGCGCTGCGCTGGATCGACTCTCCTCCCCCTCCTCCGTCAGGGAGGAGCAAGGGCCTGAGGAGGAGGCAACTCCACGTGAGCCGACTTGTGCGTCCTGCTCTCTCTGACGTGACCCCCGCCAGACGAGCAACAGGCTGCACCTGGTGGGATGGAGCCTGGGCGGAATGATCGTGCAAGAGCTGGTCCTCCTCCTCCTCGACGAGGGCATCCAGCCAGCGTCGATGCTGTTGGCCTGCACGCACAGCGGCGGTTGGAGGATCCTTCCTCCTCTGGGCTCTTTCCTCGACATCCTCCGAGTCGCCACGTCGACCAACCCGTCGAGGAGGATCAGGACCGTCCTGCCGCTGCACTACACGACCGACTTCTTGAAGAGCGGAGGGCTGGGCGGCATGGCGTCTGAGGAGAGGATGAACGGGTAGCGGTGGGGAAGGGGCAGGGGCGATGGCGACTGACGGGCTGGGCAGGGAGGTGCTGCATGAAGACTACAAGAGTCGCGCTCCCTTCCGTGACTTCTCCCTCGCCCGGCAGCTCCCGGGCATCATCGGGCACCTCCTCGCTACCGTCACGCATCATGTGAGCAGGCGGAGGCTACGGAGGATCGGGCAGAACCTGGAGGGTCGATGCATCGTGGTGGCAGCGGGGAGGTAGTGTCGCCTGCTGCGCTAGGCACCGTCTGAGGGGTTGCAGGGACCGACTGATCCCGTCGAAGCACTCGCATCAACTCGCGGACTTCTTGGGGGAGGAGACGAAATTTGTGAGAGGAGGAGGGGAAGGAGATGGTGCAAGGGAGGGGGAGAGGAGGAGGGAAAGGGGGAGAGGAGGAGGGAAAAGGGGGAGGAATTCCTGACCTTCAACATGCAGTTCGAGTTCGAGGCCAACGGGCACATGATCAATGTTGAGATGAAGAGGTTGAAAGTTGAAGGCAGCACCAGAAGCCGTCTGACCCTTCCTTCCCTCTCCCCCTCCCCCTCCCCCTCCTTCCCGATTGTTCCTACTCGTCCTCTGCTTTCCCCGCTGTCGTTGCTCTCGCAGTGTCTTCAATCGCATCCTCTGGCATCATGTCATGGAGGCGAGCAAGGGCAAGCGAAACCCGGAAGTTTGGTCAGAGCTTGCGGAGCATGAGGGGAGCAGGTGGGCCTTGACTCTTGTGATCCCCCTCCAACCCGCCTGTCCTCCTCCCTCCACTTGCCCTTCTCCTCCTGGTTAACGACCGGCAGGTCTAGGAGGAGGGCTAGCGGCCCATGGGATCGCCTCCTGCATGCCCTGCAGTAACTAGCTGCTTCCTTTTCCTGGGCTGACCTGACGCGTGCACCTCAGCGTCTTGCTGGGTTGGAACGTCAAGATGTTCATCGTCTTTCCTGTGAGCCCTGCTGCTGCTGCTGCTGCTGCTGCTGCTGCTGCTGACAGATCTCCTCTAGTTCGCCTTTTTCATCAGCCTCATCGCCCTCCTCTGGAAGAATCTCTTCCTCAAGCCCTGCGTGAGCCTTTCTCCCTCACTATCCCTCTCTCTCTCTCTCTCTCCCTCCCTCCTCCTCCTCCTCCCGCTCATTCTCGCCATCAGACAATCCTCTTCGGCAAACATATCACGAGCATCAGCATCTCCCAGGTCCGTGGAAACCTCCTCCTTCCACCCTACTGCTCCTCCAGTTCCTCTTCAGCCCCTGCATGCCTCTTCCTGCCGGCCCCTCCTCCTCCTCCCCCCTCTTCCCGCCATAATTCGTTTGTCAACTCCTTCCCTGCCTTGCCTTCCCACACATCCCCCTTCCATGCCTTTCGCGCACTTAACGAGGGAGAGCAGATGAGGAGGGGGATTTTCTCTTGGGTCTCTTCCATGGTTTCACGCGAGCAGGTCAGGCGGCGGACTCATGAGCTGTAAACTAGAACTTGTAAAGTAGGACCGTGACCTCTTCCCTCTACCTTCCAGCCTCCTCAACCTCGTCACCCTCACTGTTGCTCCCGGAGCGACGGCAGACATTCCTGTCTGAATACCGCAAGCTCTCGCTCGCCTCGTGTCGATAACTCCTCCTGCTCGTGCTCGTGCTCGTGCTCGTGCTCGTGCTCGCCCCAGTGCGCAGACTTCACCTCCCGGTCTAGGGAGACCCGCAGCAACCGGGGCACAGGGGGCCCTCAGGGGTATCGAAGTAGCTGCCGGAGATCTCGAAGTGGCACTGCTTGCAGACCTTGGGAGGGTTGAGGGCCTGGTAGCAGTCGATGCAGCAGGCGCCCTGCCCCTCGTAGTCGGGGATGTACTTGTTGCCGACGGGCCTCTGGCAGCTGAAGCAGATCTTGGAGGGGAGCTTCTGATAGCAGTCAAGGCAGCAGGGGCCCTGGTTGTCGACGTCAGGGTAGTACTGCCCTTGCACTCGCTGCCCGCACGCGAAGCAGCAGGTCGGCGGGTTGGCGATCTCATGGCAGTTGGGGCATCTCGGCCCATCGTCGCCCATGTAGTAGGAGGAGAGGTCAGCCCGGCAGTCGATGCAGCAGAAGGCAGTGAAGCCCTTGTCCGCCATCAGCTCCGCCTCCTCGGCCAACACGGGATCCGTCGGAACGGGGCTCAGCTGAGCTCCAGGGGCGCTGACCGTGATCCAGAAGGGGCTCTGGACGCCGTTGGTCCAGCAGGAAGCCACCAGGTGATACTCCTTGCCTGCCTCCACTAGGAACCTGCCGCTCCCATGCCTCAGACTGCAGGTGAGGACCTGTCGAGCGTCCGGGCCCGTCTGCTGGGAAGACAGCTCGATGATGGAGAGGGTGCAGAGGTTCTTGTGCGAGGCGGTTTGGTTGGGGCGGAAGAGAGGCCTGGAGTCGGGGAGGTAGAGGGAGAAGATCGCCTCACAGTCCTCCTGCACCCTCAACGACACGCGAGGGTTGAAGGCGAAGGTCCGGCACTTGGGCGGCCCTCCTGCGGTCTTGCCAGCGATCCAGTGAGAAGCAAAACCTACCACGTGGCACTTGCTGGCGTTGGACATCTTTGACAGGGTGACAGGGTCGCAGATGTCAATCTCCGAGTACCAGGCAACGAAGTCCTCCCAGCACATCCAGAAGGACCCGTCCTCCTCGTCCTCGTGGTCCAGCTGGGACTTGAGCTCGGGGGTCCAGAGCTCTGACTTGTCGGAGTATCTTCCGTTCCATTCGAACTCTCCCCAGGGGTTTCTGATCTGCACAAACCTCCCAGCTGCTACTTCAGCCATCTTCAGCACGCTGTACGCGTGGCCGTCCACGAGCCCCATGCTCTGAGGGTTACCAGGCGCATCGGAGCGGACACTGCAAGACAGGAAGCACGAGTTGTCCTTGCCGCTCTCGTCGGGGTAGAGCGCAGCGAAGGCGATAGACCAGGCCTGTGACCCATCAGATCTCAGAGAGTCAGCGGGAGGCTTGCGGGCCCTCACCTTGTCAGGCTCATCGAGAGAGATGGACTGTACAGTCCCTCCTGTGAGATAGTTGGTGGTGTCGGCTGGGGAAGACAAGCACCACAGGTCACATGGAGGCTCTAGGTGCGGTGTCGATACTAGTTACCGGTCAAACCCCCCGCAGTCGCTTCATACGACAGATGAAGCTTAGCCCACGCCTTCTCGAACACTAGAGGCCAGAGCTCCTTGGTGTTCACCTCCTACACCCACAAGTCAAGATGCCAGGGCGAGTCGTTACACTTCCACCTGCCCAGAGTGATCCTTGAATCCGCAGAAGATGGGATACCAGAGCGAACCCCTGCGCACACAGGGAAACTGAAACCACGGGTCAGTCGCCGCCTCGACTTGCAGTCACGTTACCCGGTCGTCAATGAGGACAGTCACCCACTTGCCGTTGAGGAAGAACTTCACGCCAAACATCCCTTGGTCCATACCATCTTCTATGCACAGATCGTGAAGCAGGATGTCCGAGCTCCCGATGCTGCAGGCTGAGATGGCCGCGAGGTAGTAGCAGTTCCCAAGTCTCCCCTGCATCCTCCACCTTGACGACTGTTGATGGCCAGCACTGAGACATACCTGAGCAACATCGTCGGGGTCGATCCCTCCGCTCCAAACTTTGGGCTTCAGACTAGGATCTGATGGAGAGTGACTTTTCGTGGAAACCGGCGCTGACATCATCAAACCTCCGATCTCATTTGGGCGCTTCCACTCGATCCCCTCTACTCCAGCAAGGAAAGCGTCCTATCGGGTGAAATCAGCAAGTGAGAAAACGGGTGGATCTCGTATGCCTGATCCTTGCGGAAAGTCTGCTGAACGCCTGTGTTCATCCCAGCGTAGGACGGGTCAGCATAAAGGGCGAACGCGTTGCTCGGAAAGGTCCTGTTTGTTCGTCGAAGTTAGACCCAACGTTCTTCGACAGACAGAACATGTCAGCAATCTCTCACGGATCCTCAAAGAGTTGTCCGGAGCCCTTCAAGATTTCTGAGAGCCGCTTCACAGAGCTCTGCAGAAATCAGAGTCATTCCTGTGGCCTCAAGCTGAGAATCGTCGAACCTCCCCCTGAAGGTCTCTGCTGACTTCGTATGGCTTCCAGGATTCTGCAAAAATCTCGTAGTATGGCTGCGAACGCACGTTAACTTAATCTTTCTTCCTTGCACTTCACAACCTCAGTAGGATGCGACGTAGGGTCGGCCATCCTGTGCCTTTCGTAAAGCTCCTTGACGATGTTTGCAGCCTGTTGTTTGGAACTTCATTGATTCAGAAAGGCCAATATTTTCGTCACCTCCGCTCCATGCTTCGCAGCAAAACTGTTAAGGGCACTTTGCACGTCGTATCCTGAAGATTGTGGTTCAGAGAATCAAGGACAACTCATGTATTCGCCATTTCACCTTCCTTCTTGATCCAATGTGGACCAGTTTGGGGGACTTCCTCTGGCTCTGGTTGTAAGGTGATAAGGTCGTTGCTTTTCCATGGATTCCAGGCACTCACTGTATTCCCTTTCTTCTCTTTGCTCCTCCTTTTCTTGCTTCTCGTCCTCGTTGTTTTGCTCTTGGTCCTCAGCAATGTCTTGAATGGTCTGGTGCGCATCAAAATTGGGCACTTGCTTCCAGAACATTCACCTCAGCCACCTCTTGAAGATCCTCAGCCACCTGCTCGCCGGAGAATTCCTCCACCTTCTTCTCGGCCTCCTCCAACAAGACATCAACGTCGGGCAAGTCCAGCTTCTCTTCAACAGCTTCTGCTCCCACCAGAAACGTCAAGGGGCTTCATCCTTGAGCCTGTCAGGAGGTACTCTGGATGTCCGAGAGGGATGGAGCAGCGATCGAGAGATTCACGTCCTGATTCACCACCGCCTCCTGCATGCTGCGGGAGCAGTCATGGCGTGAATGGAGGGAGGAAACGTTCAATCCGACCTGCTCGTAGTGACCGGAGGGGTCGAGATCGGTGCCTCGCTGACTGTTTGCACGGCCCCCGCATCAACAGCTGCACCGGCAAATCAAGGCGAGGATCGTTCATACGTCAACTCCCATCACCTGCTGAGGGGGATCCCTCGTCCTCGCCCCCTCCGAAGCAAGAGAAGCAGCAGATGTCTTGGTCCTCATCAGTGGAGGCCTGCAAAGAGACATGTAGCTCAGGAATGACGCTTGCCCCACAGCCAAGCAAACTTGGATTACCATCTGCACAAACACCGAGTCAGTGATCTTAGGCACGGAAAGAAACTACTCCTAGGAAACATCAAGCTTTGGGGAGGGTTGCTTCTGAATTTTGATGAACAAATTATGCATTGCTCGATGTAATGTAGATTCTCAGCTCAAAAATCCTTCTCCGACTCTAGCATGATCTTCTCAAAAACCGAATTTTTTCACCTGGGCTCTCAGCACTCGTGAAAAACCTCGGCTTGCCTTCTCAGTCTCCCAACTTGATTAGTATGCTTCATCTTTTGCCTTCTCGTCTTCCATGGTTCCCTCTTTACTGTTCCCCTGACCTCTACTCTTCTTCCCTATCTCAATTTCTCCCCTCCTCCGCCTCCTGTCCTCCTCTCTTCCTCCTCTCTTCATCTCCCCGGCTCCATCCTCCCTCCCTCTCCTCCCGGAGTGTTCATCGCCGCCTCGTGATCCCTGCTGAGGACTGCATGAGTCGCAGGTGTCACTGGGTCAAATTCAAAATCGGAAAGGTGGGGTGGCGAGAAATAGTAGGTGGGGTGAGTCTAGTAGGGGGTCATTTATAAGCTCTGATCAGTATATATGGAGGTAGGGGTACTGAAAGTTTGGTTGTGGGGTGGGTCCCCAAGAACTCCGTTCGGACCGCACCGTCGGACGTGGCGGGGGTAGTTACTGGTTTCCTGATTTTCCTCGTACTGATTTTAACTTAACTTTGAGTAAAGGGTTTCCCGATGACTCATATAAATAACGTACCGAACTTGATCTGGTCACCGGGTCAGAGCGGCCGGGCCGCTCGGCCCTGCCCGGCTGGCGGCCAGTGACTCACTGAGTCAGTGACCCGGCCCTGCCCGGCTGGGCCAGTGATCGGACCCGGTGACCCGGCCGGGCATCGCCGGACCGTCGGACCGCCGGCCGCCCGGGGGGCTGATCTACTTGGTCTTTACACTGGCACGGTCAGTGCCAAAATTGTCCGACCCTCGTGTGATTAGTAACGTAAGCCAGCCTCAGGTCCGAGATGATCCGGGCCTCACCGTCCGTCACGCCGAGCCTGCTGCTGCCAGCGAGCGACCGTCCGACGCTCAGCACTGGCAGCAGCGCCGCGGCCCCCGGCGGCCCGGCGGCCGGCGCCGCCGGGCCGCGGGGTCCGTGGCACTGGCCGGGCCGGGCCATCACCTTGAATTCTGAGCAGGTGCTGTATGAGGGCACAGTGTCTGCCTGCGTGCGCCATGGGGTTGCGTGACAAAGCTAGGGGAAGGGGGGGCGGGAGAGGAGGAGGAGAGAGGATAGGATGGGAGAGCAGAGTAGAGGATGTGGGTCCCAAGAGGACGGACAGGCAAGCGGGAAGGAGAGGAGGGGAGAAGGAAGTGTGGAGGACGGAGGAAAGAAGCGAATGAAAGGAAGGGAGGGATCGAGAAGTTAATCGCGGAAGGAAAGAACAACCTTCAGCACCCAATGCTTTGCTCTCTTCAGATCTATCCATCCACCTGAAGTTTCCACACAGGATTCAACATGCCAGCGAACTCGGCGAATTATGCTCCTACCAACACTCCTCTGCAACAGGCAGCGGCTGAGCGATCACACCCTGAAGTCCCCAAGGTTGCGTCGTGACCGGAGGGACGGGCTTCGTGGGCCAGCGGCTGGTGGAGATGCTGATAGAGCGAGGAGCCGAACGTGTCGTATCCTTCGACATCGTCCCGGCCCCATCCGAGGCCTGGAAGCATCCCAAGATCGAGTGGAGGGTCGGGGACATCTGCGACAAGGAGGCGGTGCTGGATGCTGTGAAGGGAGCGGACTGTGTCTGGCACAACGCAGCGGCCGTGGGGCCGTTCCACCCCAAGTGGCTGTACATGAAGGTGAACTATGAGGGGACGCTGAACGTGATAGAGGCGTGCAAGCAGGCCGGAGTGAAGAAGGTAGTTATGTCATCGTCCCCATCGACGAGGTTCACGGGAGTGGACGTGGATGGGTTGACGGAGGCCCAGCTCCCTCCGCTCCCTCTCAAGCGCTACCTCCAGGGGTACGCGGAGACCAAGGCTATCGGCGAGCTCGCGATGAGGAACGCGTGCTGTGATGAGCTGATGACGATTGCGGTGGCTCCTCATCAGGTTTATGGCCCCAGGGACAACCTGTTCCTGCCCAACTTGCTAGAGGCTGCAGGCAACAACAAGCTGCGGATCTTTGGCCCGGGGCACAACAAGACTTGCTTCACGCACGTGGACAACTACTGTCACGCGCTGATCATCTCCGAAAGGACGCTGAAGAAGGGCTCCCCCACCCTCGGCAAGTTCTACATAGTCACCGACGGCCGCACCCAGCCCGAGGGGCAGCACCTGATCTTCTGGAAAGTTCTGGATGAGGCGGTGACGGGCATGGGCTTCACGTCCTTGTGGTCTAAGTGGCATCTTCCCAAGTGGTTCCTCTTCTTGCTCGCGTACCTGTCCGAGTTCGTAGGGATGATTCTCAACCAGAAGTTCAAGCTCAACGTGTTCAACGTGCTGGTGCTCACCATGCACCGCTGGTTTGACATCAGTGCTGCCGAGAAGGACCTCTCGTACCAGCCGATCATCAGCTTCCGACAGGGATGGGACGAGACCATCTGGTGGTTCAAGCAGAACTGGCTCCCCAACTTCAAGCGGGAGAGCTCCTATACTGGAATCGCCACCAACACGCAGAAGAAGATCGACATTCAGTCAAGAAAGCACCAAGGTGAGCGACAACCTCGCCTCCCATGAGCTCACTGGGCATGGCAGGCGAGAAGCCCCACAAGGCGTGAGGCGCCTGCTAGTCGTGAGGGGCGTCGAAGAAGCTCCTGGGCGTCTGGACCGAAGGTGTTGGGTTCGATTTGGTGGACGTGTAGCTCTCGCGCGACCGGATCTGCGGGGAGGAAGGATAAGTGAGTGACATGTAAGTGAAGGGAAGAGCAACCGAAGTCTCCACCCCCGTGAGGTCCCTCGTGATGCTCGACTCCTGCCCTTGACCCTCAGCGGTACACTTCCTCCTCTCTGCCGACTCACGAAGGTCTTGCCGACGACTCCTACCGCTCCGAGCACGTGCCTCAACTTCCTATTGGTCCTCTGTTGAACGGCCATACGATGAGAGGCAGGATAGGGAAGGGCAGGAGCAGGGGAAGCGAGAGGAGGGATAGAGGGGGAGATAGTCACGGACAGGGAGGGAGAGAAAGAAGGGAAGCGGGGAGAGGAGGGTGTTGATGGAGAAAGAACTCGCCTCCTTCGACTCGCACATCCTTGTCAGAGCCTCACAGTTCAACGTTAACCTTGCAATCTCTTCCTTGGCCTTGGCAACCTGCGGGGATGTGAGTGAGGGGAGCCGAAAGCGTGGGAAGCAGCGTCACGTCCGATTCGAGGAGCTGGATGTGTTGGCCCTGCTCTCTGATCTTCGCGTCTCTCGCTTCAAGATTCCTTATCAGCTCGCCGCAGAAACTTTTGGGGGTCAGTCAGTGGACGTCAAACGGCGCGGGAAATCATACCGGCAAAGCCAATCGACATCGAGGAAGAAGAGGCTCAGCTCTTCCATCCACCCCACCAACGAGTCTCGCAGTGCAGACTCTCGTCCTCGAGACTGATCCAAGGCCAACGAGCCCTGAGCCAGGAGCTCCTGTCCACGGCTATCAGCTCCTCCCCTTTCGCAGCACGTTCAACTCGCTCACTTGCAGCCTTGTCACGAGCTGCTCGTTCTCACTGTTCTTTGCCTCCAAAGAGTCTTTCAGCTCACTCATGATCGACTGATGGGACCACAAGTAAGGTCGCAACCCAGGGCTGTTGAAGGGCGAGGCACGTACCAGCTCATCGGCCAGCACTCGTTTCTGCGACTTGACGTTGCCCAGCTCGAGTTGCAGGCCCCGGATCAATTCGCTCTCCCTGAGAAATTCTCGCTGGAAACGAGTCAGCTCCTCCAAGTGTTGCCGAGAGAGAGAGTCGAGCCGCGATTGTTGATCTCTGAATTCCAGGATCTGTCGACTGCTCTCGGCTTCCTTCCTCTGGGCCTCAAGCGCTTCCCGCTCGTCCCTCGCCCTCTGTGGATCAAGTTGTCAGAAGACACCTTCAAAGTGACTTACCCGGACACCTCTTGGCTCTCCCTCCAACCGCACAGGCCGGAGGACAGGAGCAGCTTCCTGTTGGCAGCATCGCGATCGAGTTGGAACGACTTGAGATGGCACACACGATCTGACCAGCACACGAGGACACTTTTCGACATTCGCCATCGCTGCCGATTGAGAAGGATACAAAGAATATTCTTGTACTTCAGCGAGGCCCTGCTCGTTTCCTTCCACTGATTCCACGACACCGCGAGATCCAGTCGTTTCCATCGCAGCATAACTCGTGCACCAATCATTCCGAGTCGGTCAGCAAACGAGTAGACCTTGACCCAAGCCCCAAACGATTGCGACAGAGCATTTCGATTCTTCATGCTGCTTCCAAGACGAACATCCTTGATAGTGGGCAGCTGACAATGAAAGCGAATAAATGCCGAGGCCTTTAGTCTCATCAAGTGACCGGCAACGCAGCGACTGATAATAAACTTGCAAGTCTTTCCGAAAGCAACAGAGTTCGACCAATTTCTGATCACCATCCTCAGCAACATAAAAGAGGAGAAAACATCGAAAGAAGACTTGCGTGGTACATCCACATCAAGAGATAGTCTCCAAACATCAAAGGCCCTCGCCATCCCTCCCTTCGCCCACCGCGTCGCTGTCCGCCTCCCTATCCGTCGCAGCTCTTGCTTCCTCTGCACGTGCTCCATCCAGCCTCCCAGAGACGTCGCCAGGCTCAGCCCCCGCCACCGCTTGATGATCTGCTGTCCTGTGACCCGCCGGGTCTTGACCTGCTCGCACAGCCCCTCCCAGGACCTCAAGCTCCCGACCAGCGTCAGCCTCAGGTCGATCTTCCGGAAGCTCGAGCCGATCCTGCTTATCGTCTCCTCCATCAGCCTCCTGGCCTCCGTTACCTCTGCCCAGCTTGTCCAGCTCTCGCCCAGCCGGAGCTTGCTCCACCGCCGGACGATCTTGCCCGCTCGCTCTCGCATGGCGACCCGTCGGTCGACGTTGGCTATCCACCCTTGCATGGCTGCCGCGAGTTTGCTATTCCATATCCTCCTGGCTGCCTTGTCTAGGCTCTCCTGCTGGCTCTGCGACACCTCTAGAGCGCTCGTCCACGTCTCGAAGCAGTACATCACGCGCCCGTGTACCCATCGTCTCAATACCCGACTGCACACTCGCTGTAGCGCCTGCCGCCTCGCATGGTCCGCTTTCCAGCTGCTCAGCCCCCGCCAGAGCAGCCCCTTCTGCCACCGGCCTGCACATCGCTGCAGCACCATCCTCGCATGTCCCTCCTCTACCCAGTGCTCTACCCACCTGCTGTAGCACTTGCCCAGGCTCCGCTGTAGCCACCGCCGAGCGACGCTCCGTCCTTTCTCGCGCAGCGCCTTGCCTCGTATGTGCGCCCTTGCCAGGGCTCGTAGCGCTCGCGTGCAAGCCCTCCTGCGCCGACCCTCCACGTGTACCTGCAGAGCCTCCCAGCGACCCTTGCGGTCGCTGATGCCGTCGCGTAGAGCCCGCGAGCCCTCCCAGGCCTCCTTCAGCCTGTTGAAGCACCTCCATACTGCCAGGTTCCGTACCCTCCGCAGCGCCTTGCAGGTGATCTGCTTGAGCTCCTTCTTGTGTGCCCATGACTCTCCCCAGCCTGCCATAGCCCTCGACGAGCACAGCCGCTCCCTCCGACCCGCCGCCCTCGCGTGCATCCTCCGGACAGTCGCGCGTCGGGCGGTCTCGTCGCGCCACCCGCGGAAGCTCTTGCTCTTGTACAGGTGGTTGAAGATGGCCATGTTCAGGTCAGCCTCTCCCCCGCTTGACTGCCGAAGGCTCTGGTGCGATACCCAGCTCTCGAAGGCCCTCGCCATCCCTCCCTTCGCCCACCGCGTCGCTGTCCGCCTCCCTATCCGTCGCAGCTCTTGCTTCCTCTGCACGTGCTCCATCCAGCCTCCCAGAGACGTCGCCAGGCTCAGCCCCCGCCACCGCTTGATGATCTGCTGTCCTGTGACCCGCCGGGTCTTGACCTGCTCGCACAGCCCCTCCCAGGACCTCAAGCTCCCGACCAGCGTCAGCCTCAGGTCGATCTTCCGGAAGCTCGAGCCGATCCTGCTTATCGTCTCCTCCATCAGCCTCCTGGCCTCCGTTACCTCTGCCCAGCTTGTCCAGCTCTCGCCCAGCCGGAGCTTGCTCCACCGCCGGACGATCTTGCCCGCTCGCTCTCGCATGGCGACCCGTCGGTCGACGTTGGCTATCCACCCTTGCATGGCTGCCGCAAGTTTGCTATTCTTGAATGTCAGAGAAATCTTGAGCAATACGCGGTCAGTTTGAAGTGTGTCTTTCCACATCTCGAAGCAGGACATCACGCGCCCGTGTACCCATCGTCTCAATACCCGACTGCATACTCGCTGTAGCGCCTGCCGCCTCGCATGGTCCGCTTTCCAGCTGCTCAGCCCCCGCCAGAGCAGCCCCTTCTGCCACCGGCCTGCACATCGCTGCAGCACCATCCTCGCATGTCCCTCCTCTACCCAGTGCTCTACCCACCTGCTGTAGCACTTGCCCAGGCTCCGCTGTAGCCACCGCCGAGCGACGCTCCGTCCTTTCTCGCGCAGCGCCTTGCCTCGTATGTGCGCCCTTGCCAGGGCTCGTAGCGCTCGCGTGCAAGCCCTCCTGCGCCGACCCTCCACGTGTACCTGCAGAGCCTCCCAGCGACCCTTGCGGTCGCTGATGCCGTCGCGTAGAGCCCGCGAGCCCTCCCAGGCCTCCTTCAGCCTGTTGAAGCACCTCCATACTGCCAGGTTCCGTACCCTCCGCAGCGCCTTGCAGGTGATCTGCTTGAGCTCCTTCTTGTGTGCCCATGACTCTCCCCAGCCTGCCATAGCCCTCGACGAGCACAGCCGCTCCCTCCGACCCGCCGCCCTCGCGTGCATCCTCCGGACAGTCGCGCGTCGGGCGGTCTCGTCGCGCCACCCGCGGAAGCTCTTGCTCTTGTACAGGTGGTTGAAGATGGCCATGTTCAGGTCAGCCTCTCCCCCGCTTGACTGCCGAAGGCTCTGGTGCGATACCCAGCTCTCGAAGGCCCTCGCCATCCCTCCCTTCGCCCACCGCGTCGCTGTCCGCCTCCCTATCCGTCGCAGCTCTTGCTTCCTCTGCACGTGCTCCATCCAGCCTCCCAGAGACGTCGCCAGGCTCAGCCCCCGCCACCGCTTGATGATCTGCTGTCCTGTGACCCGCCGGGTCTTGACCTGCTCGCACAGCCCCTCCCAGGACCTCAAGCTCCCGACCAGCGTCAGCCTCAGGTCGATCTTCCGGAAGCTCGAGCCGATCCTGCTTATCGTCTCCTCCATCAGCCTCCTGGCCTCCGTTACCTCTGCCCAGCTTGTCCAGCTCTCGCCCAGCCGGAGCTTGCTCCACCGCCGGACGATCTTGCCCGCTCGCTCTCGCATGGCGACCCGTCGGTCGACGTTGGCTATCCACCCTTGCATGGCTGCCGCGAGTTTGCTATTCCATATCCTCCTGGCTGCCTTGTCTAGGCTCTCCTGCTGGCTCTGCGACACCTCTAGAGCGCTCGTCCACGTCTCGAAGCAGTACATCACGCGCCCGTGTACCCATCGTCTCAATACCCGACTGCACACTCGCTGTAGCGCCTGCCGCCTCGCATGGTCCGCTTTCCAGCTGCTCAGCCCCCGCCAGAGCAGCCCCTTCTGCCACCGGCCTGCACATCGCTGCAGCACCATCCTCGCATGTCCCTCCTCTACCCAGTGCTCTACCCACCTGCTGTAGCACTTGCCCAGGCTCCGCTGTAGCCACCGCCGAGCGACGCTCCGTCCTTTCTCGCGCAGCGCCTTGCCTCGTATGTGCGCCCTTGCCAGGGCTCGTAGCGCTCGCGTGCAAGCCCTCCTGCGCCGACCCTCCACGTGTACCTGCAGAGCCTCCCAGCGACCCTTGCGGTCGCTGATGCCGTCGCGTAGGGCCCGCGAGCCCTCCCAGGCCTCCTTCAGCCTGTTGAAGCACCTCCATACTGCCAGGTTCCGTACCCTCCGCAGCGCCTTGCAGGTGATCTGCTTGAGCTCCTTCTTGTGCGCCCATGACTCTCCCCAGCCTGCCATAGCCCTCGACGAGCACAGCCGCTCCCTCCGACCCGCCGCCCTCGCGTGCATCCTCCGGACAGTCGCGCGTCGGGCGGTCTCGTCGCGCCACCCGCGGAAGCTCTTGCTCTTGTACAGGTGGTTGAAGATGGCCATGTTCAGGTCAGCCTCTCCCCCGCTTGACTGCCGAAGGCTCTGGTGCGATACCCAGCTCTCGAAGGCCCTCGCCATCCCTCCCTTCGCCCACCGCGTCGCTGTCCGCCTCCCTATCCGTCGCAGCTCTTGCTTCCTCTGCACGTGCTCCATCCAGCCTCCCAGAGACGTCGCCAGGCTCAGCCCCCGCCACCGCTTGATGATCTGCTGTCCTGTGACCCGCCGGGTCTTGACCTGCTCGCACAGCCCCTCCCAGGACCTCAAGCTCCCGACCAGCGTCAGCCTCAGGTCGATCTTCCGGAAGCTCGAGCCGATCCTGCTTATCGTCTCCTCCATCAGCCTCCTGGCCTCCGTTACCTCTGCCCAGCTTGTCCAGCTCTCGCCCAGCCGGAGCTTGCTCCATCTGTTTAGGATCGACACACATTTTGTTTTGGTCTGCTTTCGCGATTTTGTGTGTTTTATCCATTGATCTACTGCATTTTGGAGAATTTTTGTTTTGCACATCACGTCACAGTACGATGATATTCGTGATTTTAATGTAACGGGGGCTCCATCAGAATCGGCGTCTGTTTGACTCTGGAATATACGGTTGACCAGCAACTTCTCTGAACGTTTGAATCTTTGATGATTCTCGAACCACAAATGTATCAATTTCGCGCCGGTAGAGCAAGACTTGAATTTCGATTTTAGTTCAAAAATCTTGTTCCAATCTTGTACCGCTATTAACATGCATTTCCATATTCCCATGGCATGACTCAGACATGAGCTGATCCGCATTTTTCCGCATCTGAACATGACTTGGGCTCTGTGGTTCCTGGTACTCACTGCATGCTGTCGGAGAATAAACCAGCATTTTCTAGTTCCAAGGAAGTTTTGCGCTGCCTTAGCAAAGCCAGCTTTCTTCTGTTGTTCTTCATTGAAGACACAAATCTCTTCCAAAAACCCAACGACACGCGATTTCGCTCGCTCTAGAGTTTTTATGAACATTCGCCTTGCGATTGCGACTAGATACAATTTTCCATCCTTTTGTGATGGATTTGAGCATCCTAGTCTTCTTCGAAGCTTTAATTTTCTGCAATTTTTTCTGCAACAATTTGTTCTTGCAAACATGATATTTCCACTGATTGAACAACACTCTGCTGTACCTTGATGAATTCACCTGTGCAACGGATTGAATGGAAGTGATTTTCTTATTTTATGCTTTCTGCTTTGGACGCTTGAAAGAAAAAGTCTGACCCATGCCTTGAGTGCATATCTGAGTCTTCGCTTCAAAAGCATCTTGGATGAAACAGTTGAAACTAAGATAACTTTTGACGAGACTCCACTGGCATTCCGCCAGTCATTGAATGCCGCGGAAGACGAAAGGCGCCTTCTATTATGAGCAAGCAAAGAAACACGATATTGAATAGCTTCTTTCTCACAATCTTGTTGTTTCCAAATTTCAAAATGGTTCAGAAGGCAAACATACTGTTGTTTAAGAGAAATCTTTTTGCCATTCTGGACCTTCTCTTCAACCCTTGAAGCGCGGCAAATGCCTTACAAGAGCATCGTACCATTGAGTTGCCTCGTATTCTTCCCTCTTTCATCTTTCTACCTTTCTTTTGAACGATGTAATGCATCCACATGTTGAACAAGGTTTTCAAGCCCATCAGTCTTGCTTTTGATATCCGAAAGTGCCTTTGCTTCTTGTACAAACACCTCCATGCCCAAGCATCGAAATACTCGGCCAATTGACTTGTACGGTTTCGTGAATTCACACGTTTCAACACAAACTTCCGCACAGAGGGTGGCAACCCATCTCCATACAAGTCTTCCCATCCCGATGAACCTGACAGCCGATCGGCGACGAAATTGAGCTGCTCTTCTTCCTCACCAGACTGTAACATTCGTTGGAAAGAATCATGAGTGGGATTCATGACGGGCCCTGTTTCCAATTTCTCGATTGCGCTGGGCTCCAGGGCCCGGCTAGGGTTCATCTCAAGTCTCTGCACATCAGAAACGGGGTTTGGAGAAGACTCCGCCATCGCCTCGTGGTCTTTTCGTACTTGCAGTTGTTGGTACTTCTCTCTCTCCGAACAAAGCACTTGCTGGAGTTCGTCATGCTGCTGGCTGAGGGTAGCATACGCATCCTTTGAGGCTTGAAGATCCTCCTGCAACTTTTTGGCCTCCATCGCTAGCGAGTTTGATTTTGACTTCAGCATCTCTGCCAAAGAATCCGTCCTGTCCTTTGCCTCTTGGACCAACAAATCGCTCGCATGCAGCTGTTCTTGCAATGCTACAATCTCTCCATCCTTAGCCTGCAAGTGCATGCTCATCTCTTCCAACATCCTCTTATCTCCGTCACAGCGGACTTCCATTATCTGTAGGTCTTCCTCGAGCCTTTGCTTCTCTGTCTGCCACTGATGGCTGAGTTGCATGAATTCTTCTCCAAAGAGTTTCGCTTGGTTCTCAACCATTTCCCTTCTCTTCTTTTCGTTTTCCAGTTCCCTCAGGAGTGCTTCAATGTCTTGCTGCAGCCTGTCGTCCTCGTGGCCACGAGCACACGGGGTCTGCAAGAGCATCCTTTCCCCTCATGATGGCTGTGAACCAGAGACTTGTCAAGAAGGAGACTCTCGTTAGGGTGTAGGTTCTCAAAGCACTTCTCGATTGAATCGATCGCATGCTGCATATGCTCTATCCGCTGATTCAAATTCTCTTCGCCTGAAGTTCCCTCGACCCCCTCCTCTCCATCGATTTCGTGCAGAATCTCCTGTGTTTCATTAATGTTGCTCTCTAACTCGGCTTCCAGCGCACATATGGTCCGCCGCATGTGCTCCTGCAGGAGTTCATGGTTGGATTCTAGCTGAGAGAACTTCTGTTCTATCTTTGAGATCAACGTCCCCACTCCTCTGTACAGGCGAGCTTCTTCCAGGAGCAGGTACATGTCCTTGGTCTGAACGCTCTCTCAGTAACTCACATGAGCCAACCAACTTCAGACGATCTCACATCCTCAACGAAGTTCAAGGGAGCTCTCACGCACACGACGACCTGCTCCAATCCGCTGCCGGCCCTGCGGACTTTGAGGGACACCTGTCGTGGAGCTCAGGGTCAGTCGAGACGTCGTCTTGATGCTTCAGCACCTTTGAGCCGACTATGTTGCTTCCTCGAACTGCATCAACAACGGTCTCTGGATCGACGGGCCTATCATCCACCGCCAGAATCTGATCGTCGATTTCAAGCCTGCACAAAGTTCAGGGTCGGTCGCTTTTCTCGCAGGACCAAAGGCTCACTTCTTCCCCACTATCGGCCTGGAGCCAGGAGATCCCGGTATGACAAACTTGACCCGACAGCCTGTCAATATGACCCCAATAGTTGTACCAGTGCTCCCTGAAATGACAAAGGCGTGCTCCCGCTGAAACTCCGCGATGACTTCTTTTGGATTTCTCTGTGAGGACGCAGATTAGTAGGCAGATAGGCAGGAAAGCAACACATGCAGAACAGATGCACGAGGAAAACGATCGAAGAGAGTGATTCATTGTGTACAACACAAGCAGAATATCAATCCTACACACGTCCAATAGGACAGCTTTGAATTTTTGAACCTTGAAATGCATACCCACAGCCCTCCTCTCATGCTGCAGACATCGCTCGCACGGCTTCGCATACAGTCATCCTCCCATCATACCATGAACTTCGCAGCTCGCATCTGCTTCTCCATAGCCTTCGCCGCCATCACCGCCGCCACCGCTCCCTTGAGCTTCAACATTTTCCCCCGGCAGAGCAGGACCCCCTACCCCGAACACTCTTCACTTTTAGCACCCCTTCTTTTCACTTCAAACTACCCTACCTTCTCTACAGTAGTGCATCGCTATCACCCCACCCATACGTCAGTCCATATCGGGCACAAGTCGGCTGGGGTGGGTCAGTGAGTACTCATCTTGGGGGGTGGGTCAGTACCTCCTTTCCGGAGCTGTGGAAGAATTATAGTGGGGTGGGGGTCATAACGACAATCAGTCCGTTGTTTATGCCTGGGGTAGTATTAAGCTAAAAGAAGGGTAGGGGGTCATAGTGAAGGGGTGTATGTATTCAGAAGGGGTAGTCAAATTTGGCGTCTCTTGAAGATGAGGGGAGCGATCAAACAATGATTGACGCGAAGAGAAGCGAAGGGAGGGAGGAGGGAGGAGGGAGGTAGGGAGTGAGGAATATTGATGGAGGAAGGGAGGGGAAGGAAGGGAGGAAGGAGGAAGGAGGAAGGAGGGAGGGAGAAGGGAGGGAGGAGGGAGGAAGGATGGAGGAGGGAGGGAGGAAGGAGGGAGAAGGGGAAGGAAAGGAAAGGCGAGAGAAGAAACGGGCAGGGAAGAGGGGAAGGGATGAAGGTCGAATGTGAAGGGAGGATAGGAAAGATGCCAGCTTGATGGGACTGAGAAGAGTAGCGTTTGAAGGAGGAGGTGTGCGTGCAGGGGGCGACCTTGGAGTGAGATGTGAGAAGGGGAGGGGGGTAGGAGATACGAATACAGAAGAGTGCGTGGACGATTTGTGGATGCATGACTCGAGACAAGAGGAGAGGTAGCTTCCTCAGGTGCTGGGCCTTGGCAGGAGGTTGTGGGAATTGTAACAGCTGAATCAACGGTTCTTGATGTTTGCTTGGACAGGTGTTGATCTGCCTATGAGAATGAATCCGAAATCCCGAGCTTGTTTGTGAAGAGTCTGATGCAAAGAGAGATGATTAGACTCTTACTCTTACTCATCTGCTTGATCGGCCCCTGCCATGGTCAATTCCGTGGAGGGTCCCTCGCATGGGAGGTGCTAGACTACGAGCAGAATCTTGTTCGGTTCACGTTGAGATCTTCATGGATCAGATCTTCAGGCACATTCGTCAAAGTTGTGAACGGGGTCGCCGTCCCCATGGATGGATACCAGCCGGTGGTGGGAGATGTGGTGAGAGTTCTGGGTCGACTGACCCCGAAGTTCTTGTTCGAGGAGTCATTCGAGGATTACTTGCACATGACCGTTACCTACAACACGTATCCGTTCGGTTCGAACCCTAACTCAGGTCATTACGTAGGAAACTGGACCTTTCTAGGCACGAACTGGATCGAGGGCACGAGTACCTGGGACATCAAGGTCCCGTCCAAGGACAAGACGTATGTCGCAGAACTGCAGGGTTGCTGTAGGGATGTGCTCGCTGCAGACAGCAACGCTGTGTTGGCCCGCGGGGTTCACGATCAAGCAGAGACTCCTTTTGTTCTGCGGACGACCGTGTCTCTGAACAAGATCCCGCCCCCTCTGTCCTTCATGCCGTTTTATGCTCCTTTCTTCATCGCCACCACGCAGGTCAACGCGGAGGTCTACCTCGAGCTTCCTTTTCTTGATTACAACAGCTCCTTCAAGTCGGCACCGAGCACCTGGAACCATGAGGACGAGGCGTGGGCTGCTAACGTGGAAACTGCCCTCAAAGAGGAGCAGGGAAATCTGGTGCTGCAGCCTCCAGTCATGAAGCAGTTTTCAAACATCTTGCAGCAACCAGATACAATGAATCTGAACACCCTCCCTCCGCTCAATCCGCCCAAGCCAGTTGCAACCACTCTCAAATTCACTGGAATGAATGTCAGGCTTCTCAGGAATCCGTCTTCGGTTCTGACTCTGTTCCCGAGCAACGACTGCACTGGAACAATTCGAGAGCAGATCGTAGTTGGCAAGGACATTTGCCCAGGAGGGCCCATTCAGAATTTCAGCCAGACTGGTGTTGGTATCAGGGAGAGCTTGCAATCCATCCTTGTTCCTAGCGGGCTTTCCTTTGCCCTTGTTGACGCATGTGAGTTCTCAGAGACTCCTGCCTGGGTCTTGAGTTCGGACAATCCCTTCTACTTCGGCGATGTGCTTCAGACCTGTAACAACATGGATGGGACGCAATCGTGCTGCACTGTCACGTCGTCGGTGGCTTCAAAGCTGAAAGGTTTCAGGGTCGTGGACAGCACTTCCAAGACTGCGCCTTCTATCAACAACATGGTCCAGATCCAATACACCCAGGTTAACGGGCGGTATGTCATCAAGCTGCAGCCGAAGAATTTGGCGGCTGGCCGCTACCCCATCACTTGTACCATAGCATCGGAGGGCTCCACCATCACAACCGTGGAGTTCGTTCTCGCTGTATTCCAGAAGCAGCCGAACAACTATTTTGGGCAACAATCGACGATGAATTATCCACAGGTCAGGACTGCAAATCCTCTCGTCAAGACCCTTTGCTAAACCCTGCGGCAGGAGTTTGTGACATCCACTGGCTTTTCGTTCAACGCTAGTTGGATTCTCAACTCAGAGGTGAGAATTCTGATCGTGCTTCCTTCAGCTTACCTGCTGACAGAAAAAATTCACTGTTTTCGACAACATCGAAGCCTCGACTTGGGGCAGCAACCGTCCAGTATCAGCTTGGACGCTCCAGGGATCGAACTCGATATGGATCCTCCAGTGGCCATCAAGTCCGTGCGTACAGAGCACCGGAATGTTCTTCTACTGCTTCACTGCGGTCATGCAGACAGACAGCCACGATTGGGAGAACCTGGTGACAAGAATCTGATCTAGCACCATATCACGATGACTTTGAGTGACCGCAGAAATGTTCCCTGATCCGTGTGGTAGTGGACCTCGCTCCAAGAATCTCTGTCTTCGAATCCTCTCGTCCCGATGTAGACGCCAACATGTACAGGTTGATTTCAAGCGACAGCAAGTGCGTGCGATCTGACTCATCCTTTGCAGTGTTTATATGGGCGATCGACTTGAGCTGGTGGTCAAGGCTGCTGACAACCCCCAAGACATGGTGGAGGTACTCGGTCTGACGAAGCTCGATGTCAACACGGGAGATCGCTTCAGAGGGCGGATCCGGTACGAGTCGGAGCGCGTGGATTTGGTCGGCGGAAGGATGTCCCTCTACTATCCGATCCCAGGGTTCACCGCCTCCATCCCAAAGCTGACGGAGATTCAGCCGCATCCCTTCATGTCACTGAGCATCGGCGGGCCAAGGAATCTCACGCAGGCGCTGCTGGTACCTTATGAGAGGGAGCGTGTCGTTTCTTTCGTGCCTACTCGCCTCCACTCAGGGTAAGTTCCTTTTCCCCACAACCCCCTCCGCCCTGGCGGGTACCCTGAGCTTGCTCACAGGCTCAATTTCTCCATGTGCTTCCTTGCGATAGACACGAGGGGCCTTTGCAGACCGTACGGGTCGGGCAGCCAGCGTTGCATCCAGATCCATGTCCCCAAGTGCAAGTATCTGCTCAGCCAGGGAAGCGACCTAACAAGGGTCGCTGGCTTGTTCCGCACCAACTGGTTTCAGGTACTACCACCAGTCTGTCCTCCACACTCTGTCTTAAGACTGAAGCCTCAACTCCTGCAGCTGTTTGCTCTGAACCCCTTGTTCACGACCCCCGAAACAGCGCTTGCCACTGACTACGTGGTCATTGATATTGGCAAGCACTACACGGTACTACGAGCCCTTCCCAGCCTCTCCCTAAGCTCCCCACCGTAACACCCGCTGCAGATCTCTCCTGGAGAAACGCTTGCTGGAGTCGCGGAGTTGATGGGAACGGATCTGCAGAGCATGCAGTTCTTCAACACTGAGCTCGCGCCCCAGCGGGAGCCTGGATGGATGCTCGAGGTCGTCCCGGGCATGCAGATTTGCGTGTTGCCCGACTCCTGCAAGTCCAACGTGTAGGACTGAAGAGGGGCTGGTGCATGTTGTAATGTTGTATTGAGGAAAACAATAGGAAAGGGAAGGAAGAACTCAGAAGTTGCCGGTGGGATGGTTAGGCAGCAGGGCAGCTGCTGGCAAGTCAGTCGGGAGACCTCCAAGTCTCGAGAGCACTTGAAGGGCTTCAGTCGCTTGCATCCATGCCGCTAGCAACACCCCCTTCCTCCACCTGCTCCACTTCAGGATACCCATCGACAGTCGTTGCAAGATAGTCACCTGGCCACCCTCCGACGATTCAGAGGACTCCGGTGCAGATTGAGACGTCGCAGTTGGAGGAGACCCTGCGCAGCATCACCAAAGGACCTTCAGCTCAATCTGTTCTCACCAGTCAACTTGACCCAGCTGTCGTCTATCTTGTCCATCCCGCCGCTGCCGAGGGGGAAGTGGTTGACCAGAACTCCAGGCTGCCGGTGCAGATGAGTCAGAGTTTGGGGTCGGCAAACAAGACAGAGGCGGACCAGCAGCTCGCACTTGGCGCACATCGATCGCATCTGCTTGATGAGATCGCCATCGCAGACGCTCTGGTGCATCGCTATCGACTTTGTGTTCGGGCAAAGCTCCCCCCACGCGTACTCCAGCTCGCTGCACATCATCCTTCCGGCCTTCTTCTCGCAAGCACACATCGACTGCAAGCAGCGTCAGACCATCATGGCGTAGATGAGCTCCAAGGAGAAGAGCTGAAGAGGGGATCCGTTACAGACCTCCTTATCATTCTTGCATGTCTTGTCTGTAGAAGAACCGCACGCATCGAACAGCAACATCCCAACCTCCCAAGCGCGTTGCACCCTGCTGACGATGGTCTTGCAAGCTTCGTCACACCCCAAGTCCACAGGGACAGCAGCAAGCATCTCTAGCATTCGCTTCCCCGCATGGCCAAGGTTTGTCTCTCCTTGTAACCTCGCTCGAGCACTAAGCAGCGCATTCTGTGGTTTCCGGCTAACAAGGGCAATGGCTAGGAGGAGCACGGCTCCAACCGCACAAGCGACCAACACTTGTCGAGGTCTGCTCCATCTACTGCTTTCATCAGATTGAAGGATCTGGCAACGACAAGCGCGCACCTGTTTCGCTTGGGCGTCTGTGGAACGTGGAGAACATAATGAGTGTCCATGGGATTCATTTGCATCGCAAGCAGATGTCGACAATGAAACCTCCCCCTCCCTGGCGCATCATCGTCAGATGGTGACAGACAAGGAACAAACGAGTTGTTGGAGGTGGGAGAGAGCCTGAGGCAGGAAAGTCTGACGCCCTCTACTATGTCCATTTTAGTACCCATTACTACTTCCTGCGTCCATCGTGCATCGCACGCCTAGTAGAAACTTGTCTCGTCTCCCTCAAGTCTCAGCGATGTGAGTTGGAGCTTCGGCCACATCATCAGAGTCTCTTCAAGTCTACTCTTCTTCCTCTCCTTCAAATTCCTCGCTCTGAACAGTGTCCGCCATCGCGTTTCATCGATCTATTTCTGGTGTTGACCAATGTAACCGTTTGTAACGCTATTACGGGCCGCCGCCCGCCGGGCCGGGCGCGCCGCCTGGCCGCCCGCCGATCATCCGAGATCACTGTCACGACCGTACTACCGGGCCGCGGCGCGGCGTGACTGGAGATTCACTCACCGGGCGGGGCCCGGGCCGCCCGGCGGGCGGCCAAGCTGCCCGGTGCCACTATCGGTGATCCGACGGTCAGCCCAAGTCGGCTCAGTGAAGGGGCCGCCGGCCCTGACTCACTGTCAGCGCGGCCGGCCCTCGGGCCCCGCCGTGCCGGCATACCGTGGCCGCGGCCGCTGAGCCTGAGTGCACCGCGGGCCGCGGGCGGCGAAGTTCTGGGCGGTGTCCGCTGCGGCCGCCGCGCAAGTCTATTGAACTTTCGGAACCGTTAAAGAGTCACAGAGCATATGGTTAAGGAGATCATCGGGCCGCACGTGACTGACGGTATGAGACTCATCCTGATCATCATCGGCCCGGAGTACGGTCATGGCACTAAGGCTCAGCCTGATGGGTCTGCCTGTCGAATTGAGTCAACCTTGAGCCGAATACCTGCTCCAGATCCTGAATCGCCGGCACCAAGAACATTCCTGTACGGAGTGTACATCAAACCAAGGGGTGTACTTGCAGGATGGCACAGTCGGTTTCAAATCAACTTGACTGATCAGAGCCAGAGACAAAAACTTGCTTCAACACCAACTGACTAGCTCAAAGTCTTCTCTGTTGCAATTCATCAACAAAATCATCGCCGCAATCTTTGTATCTTCGCCAATAATGTCACCATTCAAAACAAAGTGCAGGCCATTGTCCTGAAACACCTTTTCTGTCATTTTCGAAGGTTTTGCCAGGCTTCTCTTTGATTTCACGGCAGATGTATTCCTTCTTCTTGATTTAGACGTTCTCACACGAGATGCCAGGCTTTCCCAATACCCTGACATCCTGAGCAAATTGGAGATCAAGTCTTTCAAGATTATTTCAAGTTTGCAATCTTTTCCTAATTAGGGCACGCACATGTCGGCTTGGTCTTCAGTCAATTTTTCCTAGTCCAGAGTTTTCAGATTCCATTCGGCTAATTGTAGTTGCATCCTGTCATATGCTGAACCTTGCGTTCTACTCTCAGCACGCGGCGTCACGCACTTGGAGGAATTTTTCTCGTCAAAACACAAACCTTGCCTTCCCACAGAGGCTGAAGATGAAGCTTGCGTAATAGGACATGAACAGGAGGTTGACAGGAGATTTGAAGACATGGTAGTCGGCCTTGCCTTTCATTCGTGGCAGCCTTTCTGGCGAGCGAAAGAGAGGTTGGCGGTAGATGTCCACATGGTCGGGTGAGAACACGAACACCAGAGCCAGTACTTCGTACGGACGAATTCGCGATGCGAAACATACTATTTGTCTTGCATCCAAGGCTATCATATCGTTTTAAACATGACTTTGTTGGTCATCAAATCAAAGTGCAAGTGAAAACAGCGTTGAAAGGCATGAAAGAGACGACGTTTTGTCAAATTTCGTGACGAAGCAAGGGATGCCCTTCCCTGCAGGGCTTCTCGATCGCCCAGTCGGCTCCTCTGATCTCACCTTCTCGAATCCAAGACGGATACCATCTCAATCCTTCCCTCATGTTTGAATCCACTCGCTCTCGCCGTCTTCGCTGACGGCAGTCCTTCATCCTCCTTCCACCCGCAAAGGCGCCATGTGCAGTCCAGTTGAATAAACTTCGCCGGTGAGTAAAAGTTCTGTACAATGGATCGAGAGGTCAAAGGGTGGGTGGTGTAATCCAAAAAAAAAGGTGGGATCGAGATGCCAGCATCCTGTCGGGCCGAGAAGTAGGGAGCAGGAGAGAGGAGGCAGGGAGCAGGAGAGAGGAGGGATAGAGGAGGCAGGGAGCAGGAGAGAGGAGTGATAGAGGAGGCAGGGTGCAGGAGTTAGGGAGCAGGAGAGAGGAGGTAGGGAGCAGGAGAGAGAAGGGATAGAGGAGGGATAAGAGGAGGCAGGGAGCGGGAGAGAGGAGGGATAGAGGAGGCAGGGAGCGGGAGAGAGGAGGGATAGAGGAGGCAGGGAGCAGGAGAGAGGAGGCAGGGAGCAGGTAGGGAGCAGGAGAGAAGGAGTAGGAGAGAGGAGGCAGGCAGCAGGAGAGAGGAGGTAGGGAGCAGGAGAGAAGGAGCAGGAGAGAGGAGGTAGGCAGCAGGAGAGAGGGGGGATAGAGGAGGGATAGAGGAGAGAGGAAGCAGGAGAGA